CCTGACAAAGGTAGTATATATTCTATGGTGGTATATTTGGACTGCATTTAAATTCAAAATCTCCCCGTTAGTTCAAACATGTACATGTTGAGAGATATTTACAACTCAGGACGCACAAACATTATGGTGTATCTACACCTGAATCGAAGATGTATGTAAAGAATCACAACATGTCCTGATGAAAACTGATGAGGTACGACTCTTTTGCCAAAAGATTTCAACAACATAAACATCTTTGCTCTGTTGAGTTTTAAAAAATGTAAAAATGAACTGTCATAGCAACTAGCTAGGACCTTTAAATGAGAATTAACGTATTAATATTTCAGTGTAGCGCTGTCAAAAAGCTTCTTATATTCTCTGACTTTAAAATTGATGAAGTACTTAGGTAAAGAGATCACACATGGACCATCCAATATATAGAGCTACAGAGCTTTGTTTAAATGAGAACAATGTGTTCAAGAAATTCCTTTTTCTATTTAGATTTTTATTGTTTTACTTTACGATATATATAATGCAACATTGCAACAAATGAATAAATACAAAGCATTAAATAATAAGCAAATAATACTTATCACATGTGCGGCACTTACCTTAATTTTCTTCCCTTTAGTGGTCATTTGTGAAAGAAAAGAAAACTTCAACAAAGCACAATCAAATCAACCAAATAAAACAAAACGCCTCCTGAAAGCATTGTAGCTAAAGATGACACTGAGTAGACTCTTCATCTCTGTCGTTATAGCAATACATTCAAATGTTTACACAGCCCATCCTTTATTTAATGCCTCTGTTTTACAGTACAGCTTAAAGGGTCAGTTCACCAAAATCAGATTTCTGCTGCCACCCAAATACAATGAAGGTGAATGGAATTTATTCTGTAGTGCATTGACAGAAATCTCAGTGGTAGATGCTACATCTCACAGATAAACCCAAACTATCTGCTTGGCTAGATACCAGTAGAGATAAAGATATTAAGTTAATATAGTAAATATATTTGTAATTTGGTTGAACCAACCCTTTAAGATGAGAATAAGTAAATAAACCACTACAAACCATGTTTATTAACGTTAGATAAATTAACGTTAGGTGCGGTTTAGAAAGAGAGTGTAGTCTACTCAAATGTCTTGGTAAGCTTACTCTAGGTTTTATGGATTAGAGCTGTTTCAGTCTACGAACAGTTCCGTGTTAGATGGAGGAAGGATTTGGGGGTATTGAAAGGATCTTTGAGGAACAGTTTGGTCTCTCTAATACATTAAGTAACTCTAATCATTCTGGGCATCAGGACTACAGGACAATGTAACTCTAAATCTGGAAATATGCACAATGCATCAGTCTTCATAACTTAATTGGCAAAAATGATCAAAGGTAAACTTTTCAGTGTACAAACTGACATAATGTGACTCAGAGATTGACTCAAAAGCACAGTTTTGTCAAATAGCTGCAGCTGATACATGGTGCTTTTCACAGATGGGAGAAGAGAAGAGCCATAGTCAGGCCAGAGATGGGCAGTGGGGATTCTTAAGGTTGGGGTTGTAGCTACTAGTGGCTGGGGAGGTTTGGTTGTGGGGAAGTGGGAGAGTGGAAGAAAAAAGCGTTTTCATACGTGTGGCAGCTTATTTAGCTCCCTAAAAAACAGCCAGAGTGTGAGGTGGCAGTGGCGGGCGCTGGGTGGCACCGGGGTGGCTGTAAGGCCGTGGGGTGGAGCTGGCATTCCAAGAGCTGTGGTGAGAAGGAGGTAGATTATATGGAGTTGGGGGCTGACGGGGCTGAGGTTACCTGCGTGGTTTTCCATTGGGTGATGGGGAGCAGAGGGAGCAGAGGGCGAGGATGTGGCTGGACACGCTGCAGCTACGACTGGCTCGGCCACAGGCTCGCTGGGCTCCTCCCCACTTGTACCAGCATCTGGAGAAACAGTTTTTTTTTTTTCACAAGCGTTTTAAAATTTCTGTATTGCAAAGACAACACAAGAAAGCAACAGGAAATATTAGTTTGCTAATATTTCCTGTATTAGTGGGTTTAGCTGGTAAACTACGTATAATGCTGACAAACCAGCCCGAAATCCAAGTATTCCATTGTAAAATTTAAGGATGCAACCTATGCAGCCCACTTCTTAGTTTAACTGACGTACATTTGACCAACCAATCAGTTAGTCCCAAGCGGGAACCTCTGGGTCTTAAAAGTGAAGCCAATGCGGAAGTACCTTAAACCTGCATTCTTTCAAATGGCCAGTAGGGGGTGACAAAGATTAGTCGATAGTATAGTAGATTGTATTCATAGTTTTCACGTGACGTCACATTCCAAGGATCAGAAATCAGAAATACTTTATTGATCCCCGAGGGGAAATTCTCTGTTACAGTTGCACACATTGCACAAAAGGCAAAGGAATATAAATAAAGATAGTGTTATATAAAGAAATATAAATATCAGAGTAAAATATAAAATAAAAGGAAATATAAAGGAGTGTTGATATGTACAATATTTAAATAATTAAAGGAATTGTTACGGTAAATAGTAGTAACGAACAATTAGTAGCAGCAGAATTGCAGCAGATAGTATTGCACATTAAGTAATTAAGCAGGTATTATTGCCCGAACAGATAATAATGTTCAGTTTAAAAATAAACTAAGTGTCTGTGTGTCAGACAATTAGAGGGAGGAGTTATAAAGTTTGATGGCCACAGGCAGGAATGATTTCCTGTAGCGCTCTGTGGTGCATTTTGGGGGAATAAGTCCTGTGTTTGACATTGTCCAAGATGATGTGTAGCTTAGACAGCAAAACGCTGACATTAAAAAGACATTATTTTCCGCTGCCTGCCAACGAACTACTAAGCAAGTGATACACTGTTACTTTGAGTTTATTACTTTTGCGTTGCCAAAATGCTGGATGGTTGTTGTGCTTTCGGATGCACTAATCGAAGAGGAGCGAAGCCTGAGCTGTGTTAGGTGAGGGATTCCCCAGAAGGTAAAAGTAAACATTACCGCAGTCAGGCGGCGGCAGGGACCTGGCGGTTTTTAACAGTAGAAATGCGGCAGCAGGTGTTGTAGCCTTATATGGATTGGATATGCCCAACACTTGCAGTTTGTGTTCATATCTTTCTGTTTCTTAAGTTGAGAGGTGAGCCAATTAAAATTTTACTGCTTTTGCGGCGTCTCTACGGGAGAGTCGCGGTGTGAACCGCTACGTTGGTCCGTTGTTTTGCCCTCCAGGTCACCGCGCATGTCACGTGACTGAAAACTATGAATAGAAGTCTATGAGAAAATGACCCTACTTCTCACTTGATTTATTACCTCAGTAAACACTTTCCTGATGTTTATGGTCTCAATCACTAGTTTAAAGTCTTCTTCAATACAGCATTCAGTAAATTATGGTCCCATTTAGAGTAAAATATACAATAACGAAGGTTGATGGTTTAGGGCGTGGCTACCTTGTGATTTCCAATTAACTACCATGGCGACCTGTCGGACGTAGGACAGTGTCAGACCTAAATGCAATACTTATTAGAGTATAATGTTTAAATATCCTGTATCAAGTTCAAAGTTTAAGAGCTCTACAATGTGCAGTTGTTAAATGTTAGAAATAAACAGGAGATATTCAGAGTTCATTGACGAGTTCACACGATTATAAATTTTCTGCCAGCATTCCTCGCTTGCCTTATTTGCAGCAACAGTGTAGCTTTAAATCTTTTACGCTAATATTTCTTCAAAGCTCTACATTATAACAACCTGTTCCTCTTGACTGAAGTAGGCAGTACACTTTGTGCGGAAGAAGAAGAGTCTACATGATATGTTTTATAGAAATGCGCTCAGAGCCTGATGAAGAAAACCTGACCTGACCTATGTCAGACATGCTTAGTACACAACTCCTGACAGGGCTACCGACTTTGTTTTAAAATATCTGGAATAAAAGAAGAAAAGCTGCGCTGTATTAGCATACATTACAAAGTTGGCTCCAACTGAGAGGAGTATCCTCTCCTCACTAACTGCAACATTGTCGTTTCACTGCATTTGTAACTACATAAAAAGTGTCAGGTATGGCCAAACAACTGTCAGCAACCAACAGTTTTCAGAGAAAGAAACTTTTTCCTCACGGTTGGCAAACACAAGCGTTTATTGTGCAGGTTACTACTATGTACACAGTTTTGGTTGCTGAAATCTGCTAAATTCATTTACTCTAAGTTGAAGATGAAGACAATCTAGATGTGTAAAATTAAAATACACCATATTAAGGTCTTTCTGAGGACATTATAGATTTACTATGACTGTATCAAAGACCTGTGATATGTCAGTGATAATCTATGAGAACTACATCTCTGGATATTGTGTTTGTAATTTAAGAAGTGAGAAGCTGATGGCTGTGCCTGTGCACACTTACCTGGCACTGTAACTTGAATGATTTCCCCATCTGGAGGCTCCGTTTTAATCCTTTTCAAAGGAATGCAATCTCCTGAAGGACCTGCAGGAATTGAACAGTTCATTCTGCCTGAGTTCCCATCAGTGTGAGGCACTGTGTTATACAGCAGTGTTAAACAGATTTAAGCAGGTGATAGAATGTGTTTGAAGTGCCTGGACTACAAAACATGATGGGAATTTTCTTTAGAGACTACTAAGGACTGTTCACAATGCTGTAAAACACTAATTTGATACTTGGAGCTTCACTCTTCAGACAGCAAAATATGAGAACAAAAAGTTTTTATAATTCAGAAATGCTTTTAATTACACATACCTGCTTCACAGTCAGCCAAGGGACTCACGCATGCACTTGTCGATCTGTGATAAAACACACTCAGTTGACTACCAAATTACAAAACTGATTCATTACAAATACAAAACCGCACATGGGCTGAACACAGGTTACATACTGTCCAAAGACACACAGGCATGTCAGATGATTTATAGATAGATTTGGTTTTGTTTACTTTAAATCAAAGGATATCAAAAATACCATATAAAATGAGACGGAATAAACATTTGATTTAAGGGCTGTCGCTAAATTTAAGCTTACAGCCAGTGTCACAGTAGCAATTTTAATGATGAATATTGTAAAAACATTATTTAAAACTGTTTAATTCAGCCCACATTATTATTAGATATAAATGCAATGCAATTTGGCTTCATGCCACTACCTCACATTTCCACATTAGAAACAAAGTTGAATAATGCTAAATTTCTGTGTGGGCTGTGCTCTGACCTGCTGCTGTGAGGATTGCTGACCAGCTCGGCTGTGGTGGGCGGGATGCTCAGATTGTCAGGGAAGCTGTCTTCAGGCGTGGAGCCCAGGTCATGCTTGCCCTCCTCCCTTGCAATCTTGCCAGCAGCTTCAATAAACAAGACACAGAAGATAAACAAACACTGCATCCCATTAGCCAAGAACATCTGTGGGGTGGAAATATATAAAGAAAGACTTGACAGAGCAGTTTTCAGTTACTGTAATTAATTGTAAAGATTCTGACAAATATTGTGCGGCTAAATGCCCGGCTCAAGTTCCACACAAAGCACACATGGAATCCTTCCAAAATAATTACCTTTTACCCAACGTTGCCTTTGAAAAGATGCAGATCATTTTTCATTTTAATGAAAATGCAGGCTACACTTGGGCAATGAGCCAAATTAGTTGTGCTTCTCTGTAATTTTTACTCACTACTGGAAAGTCAAGGTTTGCGCACACCAAACAGGTGACCAAACAATTGTTATCTCATACACTCAGTTTTTTAGATCCATCTAACTAAAACTAAGGCAGTCTCATCGACCAGACCTGCAATAAATTATACAGTCATGAATGCTATATTGCTCCGTTTTAATGAAAATATTTTACTGTGTGCGATGACAGCAATCTCACAGGTACACTGCACGTCACACTTTGTGAGATGGGTCTAATAAAATCTCACAAATCTATATCAGTCTGTACAAAGTCAGTTTTAAGTCATGTCATCGGGATGCCTTGTAAATCTAAGCTTTTTTCTATTTCAATAGAAAAAATATATATTGCCAACGGAGACACATCATCAACTCACCTTGTGCCACTCTAATGTTTTGAAAAAGCAGCAAAAACAAGCTTCATTTTTACTTTGCTAAAAATGGTGCTTGCAAAACATACATATAAAATGTGGCATCGATGTGGATATGTCTATGTCCGCATCAGCCATTGTATTCTGTGTCATTTCCTGCCCTACAGTTTGTAGATGAGGGTCTTAACAGCAGCACAAATCTCTAATTCAGCCACCGCTGTGTAAAAGGGCCTTTAGGTAGATGTTTATGCAACTTGTGGTCATTTTGGAGGCTGTATCAAACAGTTGTGGTGCTATTGATTTACGCGGAGAGGATTTTTTAATGACTGGCCCATTTCATTTATATCAATGAGGGTATGTTACATATTGCAAACAAATTTCTCTGAAACAGTTTCAATAAAAGACAGAACATTATTACCTTCATGAAAGCATGTTTTATTGCTGATGTATAAAGACTGCATTAGTTTCAGCTAGGTGTACGCAATAAACTGGCAACTGAGGGACATTGCATGTAATATATACACAAGATCGTGATGTAGAGGAGCATTAGGTCAGTAAGCTAGAAATGTACTGCTTTCCTGCATCAGTTGAACGCTACTTATATGATGACTTTGGCCTGCGAAGATACAAAGGCATAACATTCAGTCTAGAAAAGGTGGGTAAACTCTGGCAAATTAAAATCTCTCCTACCAGATTGCTGCCACCAGTTTTGCCAACAGAAACCTTGAAATCTTACAAAACACTGGCACGTTTTCAAGTATAATTAGAGACAGTGGCGTGAGTCAAAGTCATAAAGAGGCAGATCAGCATTCATTTTCACTAATGAGGCCAAATCACAGCTCATATGCGTGTGAAAATGGTATTAACACAAAAAAGAAAATTAATCACACTCTTACCAGTGAAAATCCTTTCATCAAACATTCTGGAATATAAAAAAGGAAAATAGGCCATTAGTCGCTGAGTTCAAAGAGCGTTTCAGCTCGCAGGGCAAAAATCATGATGCAAACACTGTACATGTGAAGGAACACATCATTAACAGCTCTTTAAGCACATTAACTGCTCTTTAAACAATCTGTCTCAGTCAAAACAATCAAGCAATTGAGTCATTCCTTTGTTATCGTTGAATCCCTCTGAAAATAACAGTGTGGATGTGAACTGTGCTTCTGGACTGCTTCCCCCCCTCCTTAAAGCTATGCTACTGCTCCGTCTGCCACCGAGACATTCCTCTCCTGCTGTGATCATAATTAATCTTTAGACAACTATTTCTTTAAGTCCTGATTATTTACATCTATTTATAAAACATTTTGAGATTAAGATTTTCTGAAACATCCAGCTGGTGAAGATGGGTACAGTTTCGGGGGTACTTTCATCTATAATTAATTCACTACCTTAAGGCGGATGACCTACTTTGATATTGGGGTCATTGCTGAACGAGACTAATATTCTACAGCCGTTACACAACGCTCATAACACTACAAAACAAACTGAGAAACAATGTTGATGTTATCAGTTTCTTTAACCACAAGTGGGGTAAAACATTTAAAGTTTGGTCAGTGGGTGACAAAAGGGTGTATGGTGTCCATGTTAGGACATGCCAGACCGGTTGTCAGGTTCAGATCTACATTGTGAAGTAGACTAACATCCTTACAGTTAACGTGTTAACATTAAAGGATAGGGCTGGCAATATTATATATTTTTCTTGTCAACAAATTCCATAAAGTGACCCAAACCAACATCCAACTATCCATCGGGCGAGAAGAGGGTTATACTCAGGACATGTCACCAGTTCATTACAGGGCTGACAGATGAGAGACAAACAACTACTCACACTCACATCCACATCTAAGGGCAATTTAGAGTCACCAATAAGCCTGTTAACATGCGTGTCTTTGGACTGCAGGAGGAAGCCGGAGCTCCCGGAGACAACATGCAAACGCCACACAGAAAAGCCTTGGATGACCAAGGTTCGAAATCGACATCTTCCTTTTTGCTGTGAGTCCATAACCAACAATTACCAAAAAACTTACTGTCTTGTATATCTTAATCGTTTGTGCCATACAGCTCCATTGGTCGCCCAAAAACCAACATCAATGAGCCACAGTGTTGCACTGGCTGACATGTTCCTTCATTACAATGAACATGGGCATTACAGTTTATTTTGAGTCAATCCCACATGCACCGTCCCGCTGCTGTAAATACCCGGTTACTGGGCCACTGAAAATAGTCCCCAGACAAATACACTTCTAATATCTACTTCTTGTTTGAGTAACTTTAAATTTTCTGAGCCTTTTTTTTTTTAAGTGGAAACTATATATTTGTGACCTTTTAAAGATTTACATCTTCAGTAGGAATGAGCAACACAGACAGAGTGGGGAAGTCAGAAAGTAATGAGTGATGAACATAGGCCTGGGCGAAAAATCGATTGAATGAATTAATTCGAATTTTTTGTTGCGGGCGATTTAAAAAATAAGTAAATCGAGTTTTTGTGTAATAGCACATTTTTGGCTCCCCGGGGTTTCCGTAGTGTTCGTTTCCCATAGCGACAACATCATACACTAAACAGCAACAGCAAGCGACAAAATGGCTACCGGTGAGAGCGGGAAGTTTGTTCCCAAGAAAGGAATAAAGTCATCTGTTGTTTGGAACTGGTATGGGTTTGCTGCGACAGATGTGGAACAACAGACACCACGCTGCAACATTTGCCTAAAGCCTATCGCAGTGAAAGGCAGCAGCACCACAAACCTATTCCAACACCTGAAACAGAGACATCCAGCCGAATATGAAAATCTCTCCGCGATGAACAAAGCCGCACTGACCAACAAACCTTATTGCTTTCCTTAAGTAGGGGGGGAAATCGGAAAAAATCGTAAATTGAATTAAAGTAAATAAAATCGGAGATTTTATTTTTAGGCCATATCGCCCAGCCCTAGATGAACACTGTTTGTTTTGGTCTTTTCATTTGTTGCCAATAACAAATATATACAACAACACCACCTTATCCTTGTTAGCATTTAACTTTGGCATGCCAAGTGTTTTACAGTATGTTAGCATTAACCTCAAAGTACAGCTGAGGCTAATAAATAGGAGTAAATAGGACTCAAAATGTTTTACGACATAAAGTGTTGAAATTGTTTGCTGTCACTAGATACAAAGTTAGGGGATCACACAAGCTACAAAAATTCGTCCTTTGGTGACCATGAATATCTGTGCCAAATTGAATCAATTCATTGTCTGTCAATATAATTCAAACTGTACCAGGGAGTGTTAGAGCACTGAACCAACATACAAACTGAACAAGCACATCACGTTCCCTCAAGCCACACCACTAGTATGGTTTTAAATTTCTTATTTTCATAATTAAGAAAAGCCAGCAACTTTGATCTATTTGCCTATAATTTCAAAACTGGCCTGCTCATAACACAGAAATAAATTAGGTTGTTATTACTTGTAATATCATCTAGCGATTCTGGCTGCAGCTTTAAATGAAAACTGAAATTTGCTTTCGGTTAAAGCAGCCAATCATTAGAATTAATGATCAGCTACTTTAAAAATGCCCATACTCTGTCAACAAAGCACATGCCCCCCCCCCCCCACAAAAAAATGAACATCAGGGCCTGCATCTGGAACATCTCTCAATGACAATGGGAATGTGATGTAATTCTGAATTAATCACATTCTCAATCTTTCCTAATTGTATTAACACAAATGTGCTGCCTGCAGGATTCGTTAAAAGATGCGTTATCTCAAACAAGGCATGGTGGCTCATTTAAATTAGCTTAAACAAATGAATGGAAGAGCAGCCACAATATGCTGGCAGGGGAAAGTCCTTTGGGACATGAATGGAAATGGTTTACCAGTCAGCGGGACATAGCGTGCTGAAGGAACCAGACGTTTAACAGACAGATGGTATATGCTGGCTTGATTGGGGGCTGCTTATTAAAAATCTTTTCTAAATAAAGTTTCAGAGGCAATGCCATACCGTAATTTGGTGGAGTGGAGCTGGACGATCATGAGGTGGCAAATGGATAAACTATGATCTGCACTCATTGACTAAAATAGACATGGAAGCATGCACTGGTGTTTGTTTGAAAATCCAGTCTGTGAATTATATCAGCCTAATACTATAAATGTATCCCAAACATGTATGTCTGCCTAAAAAAGGTACATCACACGACAAACATGCTGAAAATGGTACCTCTAATCTTAAAGCATTGGTTACCGTTTGACGATGAAGCGGATCCCGTGGCGCTCGTCCAGGATGCGTTTGAGCTTGGGAACTCCATATGTGCAGGGTCTCTTGAAGGGGATCTGGTCAGGGATGCCGATGATCTCCACGGCCCCTGGGTCACAGGCTATTTTGCGATAGGGGACAGGCACCATGTGATCTAGACCCAGGGCCTCAGCTGGAGTTAGAAAACAGAAAATGGCCAAGCATTTTTTTAAAACAATGTGATTCTACTGAAAGAATATCACTTAGATATTCACTTTAACTCCACGTAATAGGGGATTATTCAACTTTATGCATTTGTTGCTCTACAAACATGGATTTGCATAAAAAAGCAGCGTGCCAGTGGGATGCACACACCATGTAGAGGTTTACAGAAGTGAAGATAATTCCAGCTAAATGGGAAATTAAACTTTAGGGGAACGATAATCGGTGCTGTGGGCTTGGATAAAAAAGTCTGGAAACAGATCCCATGAGCCATGATGTGAAAATGTTTTTTCCCCCTTAATTTGTACAAACGGCTCATAGACACACAGTATCCACTGACTAAACACACTACAGTGAAATTGCTTGCAGACATCTTTTCAATACTTCCAAATAAGTAGCAAAACAATGCAAATATTTCAGGTGAGAACTTGTAATCAGCTGTATTGTTCTTCTGGTTGAGCTCTTCTTAAGACATTTGTTTTGGAATAAACTACTACTAAATATGCTGTGGTTACAAATACACGTCATGTGTATCGCTGAAGAAAAGATGATCAAACCAAAGCACTGACCCCAATACATCAACATCCATGGATACGCACAGAATTATCACTGTGCATGAACAATTGCTTGAGGAGGCGGAGACACCTTTATAAATCGCTAAATCTGTGAAACCGAGGCCCAAACAAAATCCTTTCCTTACCGTATCTGCTGTTGAACAAGATCTGAACACATTCTCTCAACGTGTTGATGTCTTCAGTTTCCCGAATGAAAGAATCCCATTTTTCTGCAAGAAACAACTCCTGTCAATGCTTCACTGTAACGGCGACGTGCTTCTTTTATTAAAGTTTAATTGAGCTGTAACATTCAAAAAGCAGCGCTACAGATCTGAAATTAATCTTCTCCAGCTACTCAATATCAACTTGGGAAATGAGTGCAATCGTCTTAAGGGATTACTCTTGACATCTTAGTAGCTTAGCCCCTAATGGTTATGGGTTAGTATAGTTTAGCCTTTGTTCAGTAAACAATGGTTGGCTAGTGTTTGAGCCTACACATCCCAGCAGGACACAGGAGAACACAAGAAAAAGATGTAAAAGAAATGCACAAAATTCATATTAGTTAATCATTAGTTTAGAATATTTTATAGCCAGACTGACACAGACGTTTTGAGGCTGCTATTGATATTTGAGAGTCTACAAAAATCTTGAATTTGGTTATTAAGAATTGTGATTAATACAATGCTAGAAGAACATAATAACATATTTTGTGAGTCCATAATGTAAATGTATACAGCAGGTTTTGCAGGAACAGAATGCATGTTGGAGGCAGTGTGGTAAATCAATGGCAGACCATTTTCATATATTTTGGGGCTGCCCTGTAATCCATGCATAGTGGTAAAATACTGCCTAAAAACAAGGAACATTTTTGGAATAGAAGTTGATTGCACATTATACCTGGGCAAATTCCCAAACAAACTCACAGCCAAAATTTTATATCTTTATTAAGTACATTTAGTTCAGAGTAAGAAAGCCATCACACGGAAGTTGCTGCAGGCAAACCTGCCACTGATGGTCGACTGGTTTTCAATTGTCAACAAAATACACTGTGTGGAGAAATTGATCATTTCCTTAAGAACACGATCTGAACAATATATAAAATATAAAGGAAAAAAGGACTACATACTAAAAACCCAGCTCTGAACCAATGTTTGGCCCATACCAACCCTTGTTCTTTTTTTTTTCTCTTTTGCCTGAAAACGCCAAAAACAAACTTTGACAAATGTGTGAGCTGAGCTTTACAGAAGAATAAACTTGTCAATGCCCTCTAGTATTATAAACTACCTCAAAATATCTTTCTATACAGCAGTTTCTTGTTATTTCACAGCCAACACTATCAATATCTGCGATAAACTAATATCTGCTCTGTAACTTGTACATATTTTAAAGATCTAACAGCATTTCACACTGAAACTCATCTTAGACTGTCTGGATCTTGCCGTTGCACCTTTAATCTCACAGGATACTTTTTAAAGGAATAATTTAAATTTTGGGAAATATGCTTATGGTCTTTCTTACAGAGACAGATGAAAAGATTGATACCCTTCTCATGTCTATAAATGTGAAGCCTTCCAAAGGTAACAAAATCCTCCTACCAGCAGCTCTGAAGTTTACTAATTTTACACTTCGGTTTTTGTACGGATTAAAATTACGAGATGAGGAGTCCATCCTTACGAATTCAGTGTTGTGTGACGACGCTGTTCTAACCAACAGAACCTTTTTTCTAAGTGCAGTATACATTTAAGATAACAACTACATGTATGCCACTTCAGTTACAAAAAGACATTGAAATATTGGGAACATTAGGGTTTGTGCTATTATATATTTAACATATTTAAATAAAATTTGACATGTTGCTCTTTAGTGATGATTTTCAAGTATAAAATCTGTCAATCAGTATATCCGACTCAGTTAGTGTTAATTGCTGAGTTATACTCCAAAATGTTCTTCAATTGTTGGCTGGGATAAAATATGTGAAGGTTTTACTTGTTCACCCCTCCCTTCTATCTTGTCTTTAATAACCAATACAGAAGTATCTGTTATGTATTTTAAAATGAGACCAGCTTCCTTTAGCTCCATGGTCACATGTTCAACCTTACCTGATTTTTCATGCACTATGGAGAAAAGAAGCCTCTTGGAGATGTGGATGCCAGGAGGGCTCTGACCCTGCTCACCAGGTAGTCTTGTTGTCTCATCTGAAAATGCGAGACAAATAAAATATATTCACTTCAATTAACTTTTATTTCAGTCAGAGATGTGCACTTCTAAATATTCAGTCAGTTTCCCCAGCAGTCATTAATACGTGACTAAAATTATTGAATTAATTAAAAATATCAGAATAAAGAATTAAACCATGGGTGTGCGTCTTCTTTGTTGTATTTTTCTACATTTTAGAGGTATGACTTCTTCTCTAGGATTTCAAATATAGGTACGCAACTCCACCTGACTCCATTAGAGATATGAGTATGACAAGGACATGTAAAAGTAAAAGTAAAGTGCCGCTATAATAATCTGACTTCAAAGCACACTGCAAATTCACCCCTTTTCTCAGCACACTGGAGGCGAAAGATAAAGCACTTAGTCTGAAACACATATTTTCACTTTTCATTATTATTATGATCATTATTGTGAATGTTGTTTCAATCTTGAATTATACCTCTATTCACAAAGGCAACGAGCAAATGTTCAGCTTGCAGTCAAGCTCTGGCTGTTTCAAAATAACAAGTCTTCACTGTTAACGCTGTGTTGGTGGAACAACCACCCAATAGGCTTTGCCGGTATCTATTTTTTCCATACTTTCCTAACATTTCTCCAGGATCTACGGTATGTGACGGTATATTGTCAGTGAACAAAGGCTGCAGCTAAAGCTCCTGTATGGGTGTTCTTTCCCAACTGCTGGAAAAGTGAAAGGGGTCTTCATGTTGTCGAGTTGAAGATGCTAATTTTCAAGTGGAGTTGTCAGACAACAATGAGGCCGTATGCTACATTACAATTCATCATCTTAATACAGCATCTGCGTATCAGTTTCAGGCAGAGGAGCGTCTGTATTTTTGATGGTACTGAAAGTCATACCTTTAGGATTTCTAAATATCTGTTATACCGTCATACTGCCCAAGCCTACTACCCAATGCTGAAACCCATCCCCACACACGCACATCCTACCATTGTTAGCACAGTCCTTGACAGACGTGCTTAATTTGTCTGTCCCTGCTGTCCAGTTGGCCACTCTGTCCTTGCCCAGGTTGAGGAGGGACATGGGTTTGAAATCCAGCTTGCCATCTGGGTGAGGTTTGGATGACATGGGCATGCCGTACAGGAAGCTTGACAGGACAGAGTTGCTGGAAGTGGCGGGACTCGATGACGTAACTCCCTGGGCAGAAGTCTTCCCAGGGCCATGGCTGCCCGATGTCATGATGGCAGGGGAAGAGTTGTGATTGACATCAGTGCTGGACTTGGCTTCCCGAGTTAAATCTTCTGCTGGCCTGCACACAGACACAAAATCAAGAAGAGAGTCATTTGGAAGGACGCATACATCACAGCTTGACATCAAGTTTTCTGTTTGCAAACTGTATCACTTGCCAACTGTCTCTTGGCTTATTTCAACATTTGCTGTAGCAACAACAACTCTCTTTGAGCAGGACCAATTTATCTGTTATTATCATCTGTTATTTTGATTGTATCATCCCCTTGATAAGGATTAGAATCACTAATTTAAATATGAATGGAACGTTTCTTTTCTACTCCACATTTCTCTTCTCTTCCCTGTTTTGTTCTCTCTATTTCCAGTCCTGTGCACTGCCAAGAAAAAGTGGCAAACAGACCAAATTGAAATTTGAGTTTCTGTCTTAGCAACAGTTACAGTGTGTATTTGACATGCGTGTTCGTATTTAACTTCATTATACAGTTGTAGAGACAGGAAACTCCCCATTTGTTGTGGGGAAAGGCATGTGACAGTTGTTATTAACGGAGTAAACATGGAGAAGAGAGTCTTTAAACAACCGATGCTCCAAAACAGAGCACCAATAGGTCCAAATTAAGCTTTAATGAGATGTTCACCTCTTATCAGTTTAAAAAAAGAAATTGTACTTGTGCTTTGTGGCATAATTTGACCTTGACCAGTCTGACTTAAATGTATAGTTTAATGACACCAACGCTCTTCCCACAAACTACATATAATCAGAGCTTCCAACAGACTCAACCGTCACACTAGACCGTCCCCGCGTGACATAGCTATTCTAATTCCTGTCCCTGCACAGCATTGTGATGTGAAAGATAAAATTAATGTCACCATGACAATGTTCTGAAGTTGTAAAATCCTGTCATATGGTCTTATAAACCACTGTTTTGGTGTATGATTAGCCTTTAAACGCATGGATCTATTTCTGAAATGGGACTTCCTGGATCATATTCCATTGTCTCAATGGTGCATGTAACCACATGTCCCCAACAACACAGAGGTTTATAGACAAAACATGAAATCACAGGAACTGACAGGTTTTCTAAAGGATAATACTGGTGATCTGGCCACACGGGAGTGCTTACGAACACACTAACAGGGATGGGGAACATGGCACAAGTCCCTGTTTTATTTCACATAAATCTGTAAATATATGTTAGAGATTGGGCCCAACTCCCACTAAGAGGAGCTTTGGATTCTGGGAAAGAAGCAGCAGATTAGGCCAATATCAAGTTATCCAGCCTCAATGATGCTGGCCAGACTTTACCAGTATTTTCCCATTATACATATTATTAAAATACTTCTGCAATGGATGCTGTTAAATCTTTTCACTTTTTGTTTTGAGGCATACATGTTCTGGAGAGACTAACATGTAACCTGAGAGAGTGTTTTTCCACAGCTGAATTAATACCCTGTCTATCCCTCACTAATACATTCAAGCCTGTCTGCTACCAATAAGTAACTATGTGCTTCCAGCCATTCACATGTATGTTTCTCTGCAAAGCATTAGAGGCTGAAATGCCAGACTTCCTTTCTTTTCCATTTTGGAGTTATCAAATGTGAAGCAGCTGGTTTTATAATCTGATACAACCGTTCAAACAGCACGCAGACTCACCTTTTTACTGTAAACTGGATGCGGTGGCTCTGCTCCAGAATCTTCATCAGTGTCTTGGTGTCATACTCAGAAGGCTTCTTCAGGGTGACTCCCTCAGGCAAACCGTGGGCCACCACACAGCTGGGGTCCTTCTGGATCCACTCATAAGGCACAGGGACCAGACTGCTCTTTCCCACAGCCTCACCTGCACATTGCACGAGGCAGTGTGAGTGCTTTCCAACATCTCTTGTACAAAACTGGCATAATAAAACCTGAAACTAAACAGCTTCTGCTTTGCAATTGTATAATGAATATTATAATTGGGGATGTTAATTATTTAGGTGAGTACGGCATTCTCTTCCATATAGGCTGGATGAGGATGATATAAGTCATGAATAGCGTGAGAATCATCAGAGTGATAATTATGAATTAAGGTAAGAGTTTCATGGCTTAAAAAGGACTTATCGTTGCATTTGGTGACTCCTTACTGTAAAGTACAGTGAAGACTTCCTCCACCATCTTCCTCAGAACAAAGATGTTGGACTGAGCATCTGATGGAGCTCTTGGTTTCCCATGCTCACCATCTTTACTCAGTTTGCTGAGGTCACCTTCCTGGTCTTTGGTATGGGCGTTTGCTGTGGTCACATTTTGCAGACATGGCACCCCTAAAGCCAAATGATAAAAGTCACATCACAGCGAATTCCAGTAACATTAAAAATAACACATGCACAAGAAAATTTCAAATGCTTGTAGGTCTAAATTATCTGCAATATGAGTTTCCTTACTACTTTATCCGCTAGCACAGTCAGGGCTTTAACTTTATGGGTTACAAAGAAACAAAAAACAGGAAGATTGAGAGTCTTGTTCCTGAAAACGTGAATGTCATCTTTTGAAAAATGGTGCTATATAAACTTGAATGACTTGTTTGTCCTAGAATGTGTCTGGATAAATGTAAAACATCTCCAAAAACTGGTGATTAAGTTGTCAACATTAAGCCACTCTGTTCAAATCCTCCTCCACTACTCAACTTCCTGAAACCTAAACAAACGGTTTATTTTAAGTCTTTACTAAACAAAGCAAACTGCAGCTACTGTTCCCTGGAACTGGCTGGGAAAACTAATTTCACCTTGTATACACAGCCTGATAAAACAAACTGCGTAATGGGAGGTCACAACCCCTCAAATTGGTGTTATTAGTAGGGAAACATTGTGGAGTCTGAGAACATTATTCGCTGTTTTACCTTAGCACTCAAGGTCAACAGGTGCGGCTTAATGTTCCAACGCTGATTTCTGAAATATGAATTACAACCTTACATACTAGTTTGTTTATAGGAAATGACGGCTGAATGGCAGGGCTTACGAAAAAGAAATATTTAGCCTCTTATCAAAACTTCCTGTAGAAATACTGCAGATTACCGTTATATTGTGAATGTGTTGTAAATGTCTTTTTGAAAATGTTGGCATACTCCGTAAGCTTGTTTGATTCTGTTAATCATTAAGTCCTTTATGACCTTGATTTTAACCTCTATCAGTGACAAGTATGAATTGCAACATTAACTTCTCCTAAACAAGTCTTACTGTTCAAAAAATAACGAGAACTGTGAGCAGTGATGTCTGTTATTTAACAAATGTAACACATCAAATGGTTTTGCCAAATGAGATGTGACAAGACAGTGCGTTGATTTATCGTTTTATCTGATAAAGGGCAAAATGTATTACTGTGTTGATTCAATTATTTTCTGATGATGTAATCTGATACTGAGCGAAACTGCAAGCTGCTGCAGTTATTGAAAGCGTTTTGATGCTGAATCTGCATTTGTGAGATCACAAAACTGCAAAATCCTACAGCGACAAGCCTGACACAAGTGCATTTTTCGTAACCACCACACAGCTGTGGTATTAATAAGAGTGATCAATGCTCTATCATGAATGAATGAACAACATTCACAGTTACACCGGAAAACAGAACTTACGACAAAACTTGTAGAAGTCTGTTTGGATTTCCCTCCTGGAGTTGAGGAAAACTCTGCCTTTTTCTGTGCCGACTGCAATCACGCTGTCCTCGTGTATGGTGACACACGCCACTTCAGCATTGAGCTTAGACATTGCCATGCACTGCAAAACAAGGATAAAGGTATCATTTACTCATAAGTCATTACCAAAAACTCTGAGGAAGACGTGTATTAAGAAAACAGAGGAATTAGAAGCACTGCATGCTGATTCTCTCGGGATGGAAAAAGATACTTACTTCCACCCTCACATACTCTCACACTGTTTCTGATGTTTGATGCATATTCACAAAAACAAAAAATATCCACCATGAAACTGGTTCAGAAATGCAAAGCAGCTGTTTATTAACATGTTTTAAAGGTGGATATTCACTAATTTCACTAAGAGAGTTAATCATCTTGAGATCTCCAAAAGGAAATGACATTGCGTGAGGCTTAATCTAGGACATACCACTGAGTCGAGGGCAGACACCAGGCTGGTGAGGATCTCCTGTCTGGCTGACACCAGCGGGACTTGTGGTTCGCCCCGGGAGTTCGTCCTGATGCCATCACATGTCAGCTTCCTCATCTGAGCCATGCCTCTGTGGGGACCAGATGAACACAATTTAGGCAGGCAGCCACAGAGTACACTAGACAAAAACCTGCATGCGAGCATGTATGCAGCAGTGACCTGCATTCAAAGCAGTTTCTGTTGACATCATTTAGTTTGACTTTAAGCAAATATTAACTTGCATTCAGGGCATCCATCTGATACCGGAGGCTGGGAGATGAAAGAAGTCCGAAAGGGTGGATGCTTTTCTTACCAAAGATGCTTATTTCATACAGTAAAAAGGACAGAATCTACAGCTGCGCTTGTGGCTCTATGAAACTTTACTTAGCACAGCAGCGCTTTTAGCTAAATGCTAAAGACATTGTGTTAACAAGCTCACAATGACAATGTTAACATGGTGACATTTAGCAGGTTATGTTTACTATATTCACCATTTAAGTTCTGCGCATTAGCATTCTAAAATTTGCTCATTAGCCCCAAAGACAAAGTAAAACTGAGGCTGATGGGAATTATCATGAGTTTGCAGGTATTTTGTCATAATCAACCGTGATGACACTAAAAGGAAAAAATGGATCGCCAAAATTTTAAGAATTCATCCTGAGGGGCACATGAATGTCTCTGAACCAAGTTTCATGGAAACCCATCGGTTAGCTGTTGTTATATTTCACTCAAAAACACAAATGCCAACCTCATGTGCTAGAGGAAAAGTCAGACATCCCAAAAGTCACATTTTCTGTGAACAAAGGATGTCTGTACAGATGTTGAAGTGAAATGAAATGAAATTTGGCCTGCTGGTGGTAGTCGAGGAAAGGCCAGGGCATTCCCGTAGTCAGTAAGGTGCATTCTCTGGGCACCACTGATATTTGTGCAAGTCGATCAATATTTGTTCAGATATTCAAGTCTGGACAAAAGTGGTGGGCCGACCATCACTGCCATCCGTAGAGCTACACCTCTAGCGTTAGTGAAAAACCTTCATCACTGGGGCTTATTAGAGAACTGATGTCATATGAGATTTTATTTTCTCTCCTTGACAGATGGCGCAAGAAAAAGAGATACTGACTTAAGGTCATTTTCTACAGTAGCGCAAACGGACTGAACGCGTTTCGTCACTATGTTGAATACGTACAAAGAAGAACAAGCGCGAGCAGCAGTAGTAGCGGTAGTAGTCGACTGGTTTATAAGAGGTAAGAAGAGAGTTACATTTGAACAAACGGAGAACCACATGTATTATTTAGCACAAGAGCCGACAAAGCGTGTCGGCCACATAGTTTCTCCTGCATTATTGGAAAGGGAGGGGGGAGCGGTGACTGATGGTGCTTTCATGTGGTGTCGGAATAATCAGAATCTTTTTTTTTTATTGCAAAAAGAGAACTAAAGTGTCCATGGGACATAAAGAAGTACAAAAAACTTGGATTCTTGCAAAATCATGTGTTATATTTTGCAAACATGTAATTTGTAATATGGTTATAATGTTTAGTTTGCTGTCCAAGTAGAGTGAACTCGATGTCTGCGTGTAATAATAATGCTAACCCAACACATTGTACTAGTGTCCGTGCTGATTCCACATTCCAGCTTAAGAGCACGAACACACACTGAAGTAGGAAGAAAGACTTCACAACTCGGGAAATGGGACCATCCGAGGAGCACGCGAATGCACCGTGAGTCGCTGGTTGCAATTTGAAACCCTCACCACTAGATAGGGCTGCATGATTTGGCCTAAAATCAAAATCACGATGAATTGAAACTTTTTATATTTCGATTACTATTAATGAACGATTATTTTGGTTTGGTCTTGGTTTTGTCCTCATAGTTCTCTGACAAGGTTTGTACAGTAAATACGCTCAACTATTAAAGGTGGGGTATATTTTTCGATTCACAGATGTCAAAAATCAATTAACTAAATGTTAATTGTTAAAGTTATGTTGACGTACACATAACAGAGACGTATTCCCCCTCGATTTTAGGTGGATTGCCGCTGCTGAATTAATGAGTGCTGCTATTAAAATGATCATTATTATCAATGTGCAACTAATGCTTTTTACTCGCACACTGTGCGAGTGCGGCAACACTAAACGCTTGGCTAACTCCCTCTCCCCATACATCAAAGGACATCTACAGGACAGGAGCTGTTATAAGAGCATAAGGTTAGGTCTTTTAAGGGCAGTGCAGTGTGTGGGTGAGCGAATTTGAGAGCGTTAGCAGAAGAAAGTGAGTATGTTGTCCATCTGGCAGTGTGGGTTACAGTGTGTCTGTCTTTTTTTCCTGCTGAAAAGTGAAGGCTGTTAGCGCTATCAAACATCTCCCTGGTCTGGAAGCTGAGCAGGACTGAACAGGGCGGAGTCACGTGACTACACTCGGTAGTATATTTTCAGGATTAAAGCCGAAATGGTAAAATTACACGTTTTAGAGGTCTCTGAATTTTCGGTTTAGATTATTTTTAAAATACAGCCCTGACCAATAAATCCCACTGAAACTTGCACACTGAACCTTTAACATAAATCACCTAAAGCCCAAATAACAAGATGGCCAATGTAAATAAAAGTGACAAACAGATCTGTTGAGGTAAAACCGCTCGACTAAAGCCAGGCACTATGTTCTCATGGCAACTGAAACCCGTCTCCTTGGAAACTAATCTCGGGGCATTTGAACAATGCAGCTCTGGCCTTTAATCTCTCCAGACACTGGGAACCATTATACTGGCCTCTGGCAAGCCCAAACCACTGACTCAATAGAGAGAGGACAGAGCGGTAGAGAGAGATAGAGGCAGAGAGAAAAAGAGGAGGGTGGGCGTGGTGGGGTTCAGCTGCACCAGACTGAACGTGCCAAGTCCATTGGCCATCTAAATCTGCCTCCCCCGAGGCCACAGCAAACATTAGCCCCCTCCTAAATTATTGCGGTCTCGAAATAGATGGCCTCTTTCCCTCACATATTTAAAAGGCAAAGGAAGTAGCGAGGAGGAGAAAGGTGGGGATAAGCACGGGCTCAGGATAATGCCATGTCAATTGCTTTGCAGAGGAAGCTCAAGTATAATGTCACGGTCCTGTTATGGTTCTCAGTGAATGTTGAACAGTTCAGTGTGGAACGACATTAATAAATAAAAGCCACCTCGCTATAAGTCTATCATGAAGCAAAAATAAAAAAAATTCTTGGAGGCAAATCAGCCAGCAAGCTTTACCACAGGCTTTGTTACTTGTTTAACATATTGGGTTTTGGTTGTTTGAAGAGTTGTTTGCTAAAAAGATGATTACCAGAAACCAAAGGACTACAAACAGCTTGCACGTCTTTACATTTCTATTGATGCCTTATTGTGATGTATGCATTTTGCAAGGTTTTCCCTGCATCTTCAAATCCTGGGCAAACTGCCGAGTGCTATTTGGAGCTAACCTACGTGAATTTAAATTTTCTCAGAAACTGCATTAAACCTGTTTAAGAGGACTCAAAAAGGTCTGCGATGTAATGAAGATGTTTACTGACAGAGGGGTACCTTGGCCACAGCTCTGTGTCAGATTTGTTTAAAACAAAAGCAGCTAGGGACTGGGTGGGGAAAAACATGACCACTGCAATCAAAGAGGGTCTATTTACACCAGCAATTAACTATGGTTTTCACTTAAAGCAGTATTTTTGTAAAGAATTTAAACTTGACATATTAATACTATATCCTAAGTCAAATTAGGTATGGTATGTATGGCAGTCTGTGTTTTAGATGGCTAAACATTTCTGTCTTGCTTCAGCTGCAGACAAGATGTTTCTTAAAGTTTCCTGATGACTGAGGGGAATTTAATATCGTGTTTTTCATACACATTTTACGCAGTATACTCTTTTGCTTTTGTTGATGGTCATGTGGTCCAATATGGCTACAGGGGCTTCACCCGTGTACCAGAGTGGGTGAGTGCACCGCGTTGCTACTCCTCCTTGTTAATTTATCAACACATCTTCTGATGGCATTGTATTTGTGGCTTGAGGTCAGTGCTGTTCTTTATAGTGTTTTTCCGTGGGCCTGGGTTGATCCACTTTAGCCAAGCCATGCGTTTCCACTGCTGCCTTACAGCAGGGGGTAGCTGAGCTGTGCTGCCGTGGTCTTACTTGCTAGTATGGCTGCAATCCCCCCCTCAACAGAGCCACGTCGTCACAGCCAAGAAATTGGTTCAAGTTCTGAATTTCCCCTTGGGGATGAATAAAGTATTCTGAATCATCGCAGTCATTGGATTGGCATCATGTAGAAGCGACAGAGATAGATTTTTTGTTTTAAACATCAAAAAAATTAACTAAGCTTTATCAACAGAATGTGAAGAAGTCTACATACTGCGTTGCAGAGAGTCATGAGATGGGGCATGATTGGAAGTTTGGAAAGGCTATACATTTTTGAGGACATTGCAAAGATTATTACGTGTCTCTAACAGTACGCAATCTTGAACTGTGTCATTGCTGCAATTAGTAAATCACGCAATTCTTGCACAATACACATTGCACCTTTAAAGAGTCGAAAAAATCAGCCTCAGCTGTTTGGTTTTCAATGTCTTTGGTTGTTTGGAGGCGTTAAAAAAGAAAGTGGAGTCCGGTATCACCTGATCTAGTGACAAGGTGCAGACAAGTACCAACACTGCTTTGAGAAATAAGTCGGCAGCTCGGAGCCTCCCCAAGTGTGATCAAGATGAGCAAGGTAGGCAACAAAGAACTGTTGATCCGTGTGCTTGTGGCTCGTCACGGCATTGCTTCGCACAACTATTTCCCCATAATGGAAAAACCCTATTAGTGTTAACACCGTACTGGCTGAAACAAGCCCAACCCACACACTCACACTTAATAATCACCTTTATGTTATCCCCTATTAAGTTTGAATAAATGTTTATACATGTAGGTTAAACAACCTGCACACCTACACAGGTGTTTTCACTTATTTCGGCTAATTAGATCTCTGCACAGGTCGAACTTGCTAGGTGAGGTCGTGGGGTAGTGGATATGCTGGGATAAGTTTTTTAACAAGTCTTAGTGCTGCTCTGGAGCACTATTTTTATATGAGTGGATCCCTGTTTTGTTTGTGCATGTGACACG